AAAGTATCGTGCATCACATATGATACACCGGACAGTCAACGTGTTAAACAATCTTCTCGTTCACAAACAGGGTCGTAAGTATTTGATTTATTTATTCGAAATATATCTATTATTTTAGATCTTTATTTCGTCGGAAAGCAATATTGATCTTGATTATCATTGCCGTTCTTAGTTTAATAGCTATCATTAGTATTACAATATGGTTTGTTTTCATTAGAAAGGCTGAAACAACAGTTAATGTAACTACAGCTACAACTGATACATCGATAACAGAAACAACAATTCTTACAACGTCGATTAGTTGTCATACAGCAACAATGAATGGTAGAGTTTTGTTATAAAAGAAAAAAATAAAAACTGACATATTTTTTGGGTCTAAAAAAATAGGCTTAACGTAAATTCTAACTCTCTAGCTCACTTACGCATCCGTATTTTACCTAATGATATTTGAAAGTATATAGTCGTCCAGAACAGATTAAGAATTCAATGCAGAAGAAATCTGTTATGGAATATGAAGTGCTATTTCCAAAACAGAATAGTAGTATTCAGTACCAGAAAGTATCATTTTCATAACAGAACAATTGTGTTCTATTTTAGAGAATTTCGAGATGTGAGTATATTAGAAGAATCACCCACACCTTAAAAGATAAAATTTATTTCCATTTGAAATATTTGAAATCTTTTTACTAGTCTATTTTATTTTACACAAATTTTTTAATTCAAATCACTTCTTTTATTGGCAAATACTCTCAAATATTTCTTTTTTTTCTTGCTTTTATTTGACAAAAAACAAATCAACAAAAGTTTTTTATCATTTTTATTTTCCAAATACAAACCTTCAAATAATTTATGTTTTTTTGTCAAAAAATTCTTTTCAAAATTCAACAAAAAAAATCAAATCAAATTTGTTTTCTCATTAAACATGTTTATAAACCTTTTGGTTCAAAATTTAATCTTTTCTTCTTCTGCTTTTCATCAAAATCATTTGTTTTCATCATTTTCTAGAATCAAAGTTCAACAAATGGAAACAAAATTCCATCACTGTAGCTGGTGGAAATGGATATGGACAACAATTAAATCAACTCAATGACCCCGAAGGAATTTTTATTGATAAAAACAAAAATATTTTCATTGCTGATTGTGATAATCATCGTATTGTTGAATGGAAATATAATGCAAAACAGGGGCAAGTCATTGCAGGTGGAAATGGCAAAGGAAATCGAACGGATCAATTGAATAGTCCAACAGATGTGATTGTCGATCAACAAAATCATTCAATCATTATTGCTGATCGGAGGAACAAACGAGTGATTCAATGGATGAATCAAAATCAACAAATTCTCATTAACAATATTAACTGTTATGGGTTGGCAATGGATAAACATGGATTTCTTTATGTTTCTGATTGGAAGAAGAGTAAGGTGAGACGATGGAAAATGGGAGAATATGACAGTAACGGAATTGTAGTGGCAGGTGGAAATGGAAAAGGTAATGAACTCAATCAACTCGATCATCCAACTTTTATCTTTGTTGATGAAGATCAATCTATTTATGTATCAGATAGCAGCAATCATCGTGTAATGAAATGGAGAAAAGATGCGAAAGAAGGAAAAATTGTGGCTGGAGGAAATTGTCATGGAAGGAATCGCAATCAAGTATCTCATCCTCGAGGAGTAATTGTCGATTACTTGGGTCAAATCTATGTGACAGATTCTTCGAAGCATCAAGTAATGCGTTGGTGTGAAGGAGAAGAAGAAGGTGAAGTTGTCGTTGGTGGAAATGGTCAAGGAACTCAATCAAATCAATTGTTCGGTCCCGGTGATTTATCTTTTGATGATGAAGGAAATCTTTATGTTGTTAATCATTACAATGATCGAGTGGAAAAATTTGAAGTAATTTTGTGAATGAAGTTTTGATTTTGAAAACGGAAAAGAAAATATTTTATGATTTGCTTTGAATTAAATAAAAATTATTCGAAATTAAGATGTTACCTTTGATAAAATTCTATTTGAGTATTTTTATTTTTTCGATTCGATAAAATTTAAAAATTGAAAAGATATTGAAAAGAAATTTAAAAATAAGTCAATGAATATTTTCGTTTATAAAAAAAGAGAAAAAAAAGAATTACGAAAGAAAAATGAAGAAGAGATTGAAATAATACAAAATTCAAATTTGATGAAGAGAAAAACAATTTGAAGGCGCGACTTTTACTTTTTGATTCATATTAACAACTCAAAGGAGAATTTGGTAAGACAATTGTCTGATTAGAAAAGTTGAAGAAATGGTCGAATAAATAATTTAAAAGGTTTTCGTAAATAGAAACAAAATGTTTATTATCAAATTCTAATTAGTTTAAGTTGATAAACATTCAATAAAAATGGTTAAATTTCATGATGAAATCAATTTTTGAAATATTTTCAGATAAATCTGTCAACAATACGTGTGACTGCGCAAAAATATCTTTTGTTCTCAGAAATAAAGTAAAAGTTGTTTGCTGATATTTACTGAGGGAATTTTGAGCAGATCTCTAGGTCGTGAGGTGGATGCTAAATTTAATACCGTGTCGAATGAGGTCATCTGAGAGGAAGACATCGACTAATAGCGGGTAGTTTGACCTAAAATACTGACTGGATGTGACTATGGATCATTCATCAATGAATGATAATTGTTGGATCAGATTTAAATTGAGATGATGAATAGTCATGTTCAGCATTTTCTCCATTTAATCATTCACAATTAATATCATTAGATACAAAAAAAACTGTGGCGTACTATTGTTCATATTGTTAAATATGTTTATAATGAAATAAATAGAAAGCTTACAGCTTCGTTTCATTTTATATGTATTGATTCATCTAAATGCAAAAGCTATTAGATAGAGATAGTTTTTTGGTGTTCTTGTCTACATATAAATAATTTCTCTAATAAAAGCAAGCTTTATAGTTATATAAAACTATTTTCACCTATAACTTTATTTTCTCGCTGTATGTTTTTGTTTAAATTTAATGTTTATTATTAAATATTTCATTTAGAAAAATCATTCAGCAATTGGAATATGTAAAGCAAAAGAATACGTTCAGATGTAATTATAAATTTATTTCTCAATTTTTACTGTTCTTAGTTTTCGAAGTTAATCGAAATTCATTCGAAATCTTTGTTGAATAAAAATCAATCTATTTTATTAGAATATGTTGAATCGACTATGCATCATGTAACAAGTGTTATATGTATTTTAAATTTATCTTGAATAAGAATATATTCCGATGAATTCTTGTTGAGTTTCGTTTGTTTCAT